TACGACCACTACGGACCGTGTCATACTCCCCCGCTAAGCCACACAAAGTGTGCGACCCACGGTGGCCGAGCCCGGGCTGGCATTGCTCACCTAGCTGCTTGGGGACTGTGGTGGTGTCCCCTTGAAGAACGGCGGGTCCTCCTCGTCGTCCATGCTAGGCGTCTCCGGGAGTAGGAATGGGGTGTTGAGGAAGACGTCTATGACGTCTCTGCTCGGTTCCGTCGACCCGACCGAGCTCTCTGAGGTGGTAGCCTCTTCCAGCCTCGGTGGGTCGACCTCCATCCTCTCCGGGAGTGCCGTGGTGGTCGGTGGAGTTTGCGGTGCGGAGCTGGAGGTCGAGGGTAAGGACGGGTGCTTTTCCAGCCGGTGTTGTTGGCTGGTGTTTGCAGCCTTCCGTGCCTTTTTCCTCGCCAACAGCTCCCTGAACCGTTCCCGGTTCTTCTGGGCCTTGGTGCTGGGCCCCCTCTCCTTGGTCTCCTCGACCGGTCTCACCGTCTCCCGCTCTTGCGGGGTTCCGGGATTGCCCCTGGACGTAGACGGTGAGGGTCCGGCCGTGGTGCTGGTTGGGCGATAGGGGGTGCCCGGTTTTACCCGAAGCACACGGCTACGCTCAGCCACTGACCAGTTTGAGGGGGTTGGAGGGACCTTGATCGGGAGACGCTGTGTTGGACGGGTCGGCGGGGTCGTAGTTGGTCGTGGTTTTGCCGTTTTCGATGGTGGTGGACCTTTCCGACCTCTCACCGCTGGTGGAGCCGTCCTGTCCGCCTGGATTGTCCGGTTGACGGCGGCCACGCATGCGTCCCATCCTCTCTGAAAGATGGCGTCCCGAACAGGGTCTCTCCGCAACACGTCCTCCGGCATGCTGCGCACCTCCTCCACTGACTGCGGGAGCTGTGTGGTGCGGACGGCCCTGGTGACCCTCTCCAGCGTCGTCGCGATCTCCTCGAGTGTGAGGGTTGAAGGAGGTGGGTTTCCCCTCTTGTCGGCCATATTTCTGTAACAACTTAGGATTAGTACATTCTTAATTTTTTTTTTTAATGTACCTATGGCCTCCTGTGGTTGTCATGGGCGCGTTTCAGGCATGACACATGGATTTTCCGTGGCGGATGTTGGTCGGTTAAGAATACACCCTTACCGACTTTTTTTGCTAAGCGTACCGGTCCCCACCATTTAGGTGCGAAACCGGCGTGAAAACCGTCATGTGCTTTTGACAGGTGGTGTGATTTGTAGTAAACTACGTCGTCCTCACAAAACTTCGAGTCTTTGTGTCCACCTGTCGTCTGCTTGGTACCTAAAACACGCTGCTCACGCGCTGGCCGTTCGCTATTCAAATTTTCGATGCGAACGTGCGTAGAAGGTGCGATGGCCCAGTCCCCGGGTCTTTTACATTCCCTACCAAGAACAAGAACCGCGGGAGGATACCCAGTCACCTCATTACGCCTATTCCTAATCGAGAAAAGGATAGGGGCCAGTTTTGTGTCCCATGAGCTGTGTTTGCCGTCCACTAGTCGTGCGCGCAAACCTTTTTTTAGCTCTTGGTTACGGCGTTCAACCGGATTAGCCCTCGGGTGATATACCGGAGTTGTCCAACCGATCGCTCCCCATTTGTCCAATACGTTAACCATTTCGTTTGAGACAAATTGGGGTCCGTTGTCGCTGAGACACACGCGTGGGTAACCGAAACGTGAAAAGAATTCGCGTTCTAGTGTTTCGGTTATGGTTTTAGTGGTGGCGGTGCCTAATGGGTAAGCCTCGGTCCACCTGCTAAAACAGTCGGTCGCTACTAGTATATATGATTTCCCCCTACTTGTGCGAGGGTAGGGGCCCATGAGATCTATACTAATAACTTCCCATGGTTGTCGGGGTGTTCTGGTGCTTATCGGGTCGTCAGAGCGCGCGTTGAGTGGCTTAGTGCACGCGCACACGTGACACGCGCCTACGTATTGACGTACGTCGTTTTTCTGACCTTTCCAATAAAACCGTTGTCGAACCGCCCGATACGTTTCTTTCCAACCGGGGTGGTTGGCAAAAACGCTGTCATGATACCTCCAAATGATATGTTGCGCTTTGGACTTTGGTATCACGACGAGTTGATTGTCGCCGACATTTACACGTAGAAGTCCGTTGGAAAAGACATATGAGTCAGTTCTCGTGTTGGAACTTCTAGTGTTTCGCGCGGGTGTGTCCGAAGTAATGTTTTGAATGACTGCGTTTGTTAATGGGTCTTCGGATTGCCACGTCGCGAATGTCGTGACTGATGGTGGTGTGTCGTTATCGTGGTGAGCGAAAGTAGAGAAAAGGTTATCGGTTTTGGGCCGACCGGTGGTGTATGGTGTCATGGGAGCACCCACCAGCTTTTCCTCGAGGGCATCCTCGTTTACTGATTCGCCTGGGGTAGGATCGCGCGATAACAAGTCGGGTGCCTCGTTGAGCTTACCCGGGACATGTGTCGTGTTAAAATCCAAGTTCGATAGTTGTAGGGACCATCGTGTTAACTTGGAATTTTTATCCTTTGCCCTATGTAACCACGTTAACGCTGAGTTGTCGGTAAAGAGTTCAAAACGTCGGGATTCTAGGTATGGACGAAACTTATCCGTCGCCCAGATTATAGCCAAACACTCGCGTTCGACCGCTGAGTACCGTTTTTGAGTGTCGCTAAACTTTTTGCTCGCGTACGAGACTATGCGCTTGTCCGCCGGGCTGTCACCCCTTTGGAACAGGATTGCTCCCGCGCCAATCTCGCTCGCGTCAGTTTGAAGACAAAACGGCGCGCTAAAATCTGGTGGGGATAGTTTTGGTGACGTGTATAGTGCAGTTTTGATTTGCTCAAAAGCACGCTGTTCCGTACCTGTCCATTTCCACCTATTACCTTGTTGTAATAAATTCGTAAGTGGGGCGATGATGTCAGCGTAGTTGACAACAAACTGGCTGTACCAGTTGCAAGCCCCCAAGAATTTACGAACGTCTTTTACCTTTTTGGGAACCGGGAAATTTTTGATGCAGTCTAATTTCTCCGGTTGTTTGTCAATGCCATTCGCGTCTACAATGTGTCCTAAAAAGGAAATTTCGGAAGTACCTACTCTACACTTTTTAGTGTGACACGTCAGTCCGAACCTTTTTAGACGTTCAAGAACTTTGTCTAAGTGGGTGAGATGGTCGTTATCGCTATATGAAAAAATCACGATGTCGTCTAAGTAGACTTGCACGAACACACCCAAAAACCCTCTCAATACTTCGTTCATGAGTCTTACAAAAGTCATGGGACTGTTTTTGAGACCGAATGGGAGAACTCTGAACTGAAAAAGACCTCTACGCGTCCGAAAAGCCGTATATTTTCGCGCCTCGCTATTAAGTGGCACTTGCCAGTAACCAGACTTAAGGTCAAGAACGCTGAAAATTTTCGCACCCCTCATCAATCGAATCATGTGATTCAGATCGGGCATAGGGTATGCGTCGGATTCGGTTACGTCGTTAAGCCGTCTATAGTCGACGCAAAGTCGGGAGGTACCATCCTTCTTTTTTGTCAAAACTACTGGGGCGGCCCACGGGGAGGTGCTCGGTTCGACGAGTCCCTGCATTTCCATATCGCGCACCATATCGTCGATTACGGTTTGTTTTTGTAATGGGTACGGGTATGGTTTGAGCGCGATGGGTGTGGGGTTCTTTAACAAAATTTCATGTTCGATTAGTTTGGTGCGGCCTACCTTATCGCTGAATACTTCTGGATATTTATTCAATACAGCAGTAAGTCTCGCGCGAGTTTGTTTGTCGCCCCCAATTTCTAATGTACATAAATCGGGACTAAAACTAGGTGGTTGTGGGTGACCCTTCCGGCATGTTGAAGTCCTAATCTGTGAACCCATGTGAATTGTTGTTGCGGCGTAGTCCCAAGAGACTTCGTTGTTAACGAGAAAGTCGTGTCCTAGTAACACGTCGCAATACAATTCGTCTAGGATGGTAGCTTCAAATGAAATATTTAATGCCCCTATCCTAGGTTCGAATAAAACGGTGCCACTGGTTGATGTGGTGTGGCCGTCCGCCAATCGAACTGATGATGGTAGTCCGTTTAATTGTTTGCCGAATTTACGGGCTATAGTCGGATTTACATACGATTTTTGGGCCTGCGAATCTAATAACGCTGTTACGAAGCCTGACGGAAATTCGAGCTCAACCGCGGGGGTTGGGATTTCGTCCGGGCGTGTTCGATTATCGTTACTAGACGTAGGTAGTGGTGGAGAGCGGGACAAGTGGTTCTGAACCGCGCAGACAGATGTGTGGTGTACGGTGTTACCCGTCGGAACCAAAACATCCGTGACGATTGCCTCTGCGCTAACCCGACTACCTATTTTCGCAGACTGACCTAACGCGGGGGTGTGCGACGTGATGTGTGTCGCGCCTCCGTTACCTGTGGTGGTAAACGCCCCTTTCTCTGTTGCCTTTGTCCCGTTACCTATAGCTGCCCCTACAGCCGAATGATGTGGACGTGGCATACCACCAATGGGGTGGTATGCGTCCGTGATGATGGGGTGGTGTCGGTTGGGGGTCTGAGAATGTGCGCCGTTAGGTGTTGTGGTGTCCGCGTTGAACGTGATGTTCGCGGACGAGGCGGAAAAAATTGTGGAACGTGTGTTTCCCGAAAACTTTTTCCCGCCCGTAATACCGAAACTACATGATGGGTACCGTAACTACCGTAAGGGTGGACTAAACCCTGCCAGCTCCCCCGCCGTTTCCCGACGTGGTCGGGTTGTGCTGACACTCGTTGTGCCAGTGTAATTCGCCGCAGAACTTACACGGCCCCGGCGGTTTTCGGTGAGGAAAATTCGCGTTCGGTTTTTGTACCGGAGGGCCCTTGTGTAGTCTAACCACCCCCTTTTTACCGTGTGGGGTAAACTCCCGTGTAGGAGGTGGGGTGGGTGCATTCGTACCGGGGTCTAGTATACTCGCGATACTACGCAATTCGCTGAACGTAGACGGGCGGTGTAGACGAATGTGCGTACGGAATGACTCGCGTGTTAAACCGGCGATAATGTGGACTAACTCGGACTCGGATAGTCCCGTATTAACGCGGCGCGCGAGCTGATTTTTTTGCAAAATAAATTCCGTAAGCGTTTGCGACGAATTTTGCGGTGTGGACAGTATATCGGCGCGCAATCGTAGACGGATTTCGTCGTTGTCGAAATTTTGTAAAAATTCGACCCGAAACTCGTCCCAGGATAGGTCTAGGACTTTAATGGACTTCCACCAAGTCGCAGCTGTACCCTTTAATTGCGGCTCGACCGCCCTGCACCAACCGGAAATGTGTATACGCGCTTGCTGTAGGATTGATTCCGTATTCGTGAGAAACCGTACTGGGTCCTCCACCCTCGTTCCGGTAAACTCGGGTAGGGAGGCCCTTGCTGCGCGCAAGTCTTCGTACGGAATTAATACGGAATGCTCCTCTGAGCGCGACGCATATGGTTGATAGTGGGACGCACTATCGTTTGGGACCGATCGATCGCCCATTAAATCACGCGTGTGTTGCGGTAGATTTAATGCGGCGTGAACGCGGTTCGCGCCAATGTCGATGGTCGGGTGTGTCGCGTGACGTTCGTGCGTTCGGACCTGATCGCGTGCTGGCGACCGTGAACGTGGTCTCGATCGTTCGCGGCGAGGAGTGGGTACGTCGGGCTCGTCCCGGCGTACTCCCGACATGAATCGACGCTGTTCCTCGAAGAAACGCATCATGTTCACTTCCAACGCCGACAGTCGTTCCTCAATCGACGGTTTATCGAGCGAGTGTCCGATTGACTGCCGTAACGAACCGAGTTGAGCCGTGGCGGCTTTAAAAACGTCAGCGCTGTGTGTCGGATTTGGGACGTCGAGTGGGTTAATTGTCGACTGAAAAAGGTTGTGTTCCGCCTGGACACCCCCGGGAAGCTGATCGAGTAGTACGTCGGTCGCGTGTCCCGTGGTGTCGCGCGGCACAGTCTTATTCATGTCGATGACCCCTT